GCCCGGCTAAATTATTCATAACCCATTTTGACCATCAACACTTAAATTATTCATAACTTTTCGCTCGGACCTTCGTTTTCTATGAAGTTTTCGCCTACACGTTCCTAAAGAGATAATCTATAACATTCAACAAAATATTCCAGAAAAGATCTCCAAAAAAAATCCGTTTTACGTATCTTTTCGACGTAAAATTTTCCAAATCGTCTAATATATTCTTAAAAAATATAATTCTAAAATTTCAAACCTAAAATCCTACTAAATCATAAGTTCTCTTTAACCTAATAACTAAATATACTTAGCAAATAATTGGGCATAAAAAATTGGATATTACAGATAACCCACAACCAGCTTAAAAAACCAATTTTAAGAAATTAAAGTTGGTAATCCAATTTTGTGTTAACGTTTGCTTCTTTATTGAAAGAAAAAAAAAACAGTCGGTAATTCGACAATGATATCGTCGATAATCCATCACTAATTGTTAAATTGTTAGATTCACCAATGGATTACTGACGGTTTTTTTTTGTCGAGAAAATTTGACTCAGTCAGGCTTTTTTCGTTGAACCGTTGGAAATCACCGACGCATTCTCACCATGAGTAAAATTTTCATAGGGCTAAGTAAGGTCTATTTTGGCATGCTTAATTCAAAGTATTTAATGTTATTAAAGGTAAAGTTTGACATAACAATGCATGATTTTATCATATTTCAATTCAATTAGTGCCATAAGTTTGGGAAGCGGATATATTACCTAGAAATTAAAGCAGCATCATTATAATATTTAAGGGGCCGTTTAATGGACACTTACTTGGTAATCACTTACCGGTAGGCTCGGTCCTGAGCACGTGTAGCCCATGCGACCGCACAGGACATCAAAGCCCAAGAGGCATCAAATTTTTATATAATATTAGTTATGGGTTTTGGGATTTAATAATTTGAGACTTGAGCTTTATTTATAAACAGAGACCCAACTGACTATGCCTGTTAATAACAAACCCAAGGGCTTGAATCGGTGACAATAGGATAGACGCATCACAGTTCACATGACGATTGACTTTAGCGATTTGAAATTGATGATTTCTATTGTTCTTTGAGTGTTCGACTTTTTTGATTTTCAACGACATTCCAGTTCCAAAGGAAGACGATTAATGGTAACAAGTCTAATGACTGTCCATGGGACGATGAATTGATCTTGATTATTAGTCAATGCATTGCCGACTGCCCGACTATATATACTCGAATATAAGATTGTCGATTAAACTCTCAAATCTCAATCCTTCAAATTTATATACAATTGATTGCATTTGTATTTCTTCAAATCTAGATTCTAGAACCGAAAGTGGAACTGTGGAAGTCGATTGAATTGTTTCTCAAACCAATGTATGATTTTATTTCTAAATTCTAACATAGTAACATTTAATTGATTAATTTTGACATTATGTATTCATTGTATTTCCAATTAATACAAACTCTCTTATGGTAATGGTTGCTGACTTGCTGTCCAATATTGTAATAGTGGAAACATGGGAAAACCTTACTTTTAAAAAAGATGAAATTAAAGATTACTTAAAAATGATTTCTAGTGATTTTGGTATCAAAATGTCAACATTTATCTTGTCTTTATTATAACATCAAAAGCCCCATGAAAAACTGGTTGGAAATCGACCAAAAATGGCTGAAAAAATCAAGAAGAAAGCAAAACAAAACTAGGTCAAATTCACTTTTTTGAGCCTGTCCATTTGATTTTGGTCATATATTATATTACTATGGGTTCAAGAAGTGTACGAAGCATCGTTTTAGGTGATATATTTATATTTGTAATTTGGGGTTTTTTTTTTTGTCCCTCTTTGTATTTTGCATTTTAATTAATAAAATTCGCGTAGGGTTGAACTGCCTAGTTTGACTAAGTTCCAAACCCTTTAGTAAAATTGTATCTTACGTCTTTTCATTTGCTTAAAAAATAGGCATAAGGGCATATTTTAGTATCTTCGCATAGGGCATCAAAAACCTCAGGAACGACATTGCTTACCGGATACCTCATCGGATGAACATGAGAAGGGTCAAAAATCTTACCGGGTAAGAGCGATGAGAATGATGGTGAGTCTTACCCGGTAAGTGAGGATGACGACTCTTACTTAGATAAGCGTTTACCCACTAAATTGTTGCATTCAATATGTTTTGATCTACTAAAGTCTTGCATATTAAAATAAATCACAGTGTTGACTCATATCGGTAAAACGCTTACCGGGTAAGCAATTGGGTAAACGGCCCCTAAATAATATTCTAGATGGTACAAGATCTGTCATGTTTATTATTGTTTCTTCTAGTCCTTCCATGCATAAAAGATGACAAGAAGAAACGAATCATATAACCATATACGTTTGCACCTTAAGTTTTAACTCGTCTGTTGGACTTAAAAGCATGAAGTTTTATTTCATTACATTCTTTGTGGGGTTTTTTTTTCTGACTTCTTATCTATTAAGTTTTAAATTTATTGAGTTGTCTCTAAATATTAATCTGTCTGGATAAATTATTGTTTGATTTTTATCCTAAATAAATAATCTGAATAATATAAGTTATCATCTTAACCTTATATCTACATAAATGTTGAATGAAAATAATTTGTCTAATAAATATTTTAAGTGACAAATGTTTAAAATAATAAGAATTAATTAAAATAATAAAAGTAATATGAATTTAACGAGTTCATAATATAATACTTAATACTTAAAATATATTTAAAACAATAAAGTATTATTGTTTGATTACAATTTTTACAATTTTTTTTATGCATTGATAAACTATTTTTTCGATGTGACATTAATTAAAAACCGTAAAACAAGGGTAATTTTGGAAAAAAAATCTAACTTAATGCATTAAAATAGTATGGACTAACTTAACATGTTAAGTCAATCTATTAGTATTAAGTTAAAATCAAACATCTTAATATAACTTAACCAATTAAGATAACAACTCATTTAGCTTATTAAGTTGAAAACAAACACCCCCTTATAACCGTGTTTAATCCTATCATGCACACACATTGCAGTACTAGGATATATATTTTATATATATATATATATAGGCTCAATTAAGAGAGAATTGATTAGTTTGTGGTAACTGTGAGATTCATTCTCAACCACAAATCAACGGATAAATTAGGAAATTAATAATTATGGTAGTTTAAGTTAAAATTATAATTTGAGGGCATTTTAGGTATTTTTAAAAAAACTCCTCTCTCATCTCTCATCTCTCCGACCTCCAATCTTCGGTCTTCGGTGAACAAAAATCTGGCACGTACCAAATAATCACAAAGATACACAATGTGATACTCATTGTGATATATTGTGATACCCATTGTAATATATTGTGATACCATTTGAGTACTACTGTCTATCACAATGTGTATCACATTGTGTATCTTTGTGATTACTTGGTACCTGCCAGATTTTTGTTCACCGGAAGCCGGAGATTGGAGGTCGGAGAGATGAGAGATGAGAGAGGAGAGAGGAGAGAGGAGTTTTTTTTAAAATACCTAAAATGCCCTCTAATTATAATTTTAACTCAAATTACCATAATTATTAATTTCCTAATTTATCCGTTGATTTGTGGTTGAGATTGGATCTCACAGTTACTACAAATTAATTAGTTCTCATTTGATTAAGCCCATATATATATATATATATATATATATACACACACACACACACACATACATACATATATGTGTATATAGGGGGTTTACTTTGCAAACCACGTTATTTGTATAAACCGTACAAATGTCATTCAACCAATCATAATTTTTCATTTTGTTTATTTTTTTGTAATCATGAGAGGTTGATTAATCATTTTTTATTGTGGAAGGTGTTAATCATGTATATTATCATCTTCATTATTTTAATTTTAGAGAAACATATGAAACATTTTCATTAAGTATTATATGAAACAATTTCATGACCATATATGAAACAACTTCATCAAAAAAGGTATTATATGAAATAATTTCACAAGATTAAACAATTTCATGAAAATTTTTCATAAGATTAAACAATGAAATCGACGGATGAGGCTGGTTTGCACGATTTGTACAAATTGGATGGTTTGCATTTGATCGTTCCTCTATGTATATATATATATATATATATATATATACACACACACACACACACTGTACTACCATATAAATCAAATTTGAGAAAAGTCTTAAAAACAACCTTAAATTCATAACTATCTTTTTTATGCATAAAGTCTTAAAGCCATAATTACAACTTTATAAGCTTCCCGTACAACTGTTAAAGCATAAGTCTTTCACAGCCCCATTGCATTGATAACACCGACTCCACCCTCAACCCAAGCTTTCCAACCTTCTCCTAGCTCTCGATTCACACACTCGAGAGGACGATTCAGGCCCCAAGACGCTGATTCAGGCCTTCCAAGACGTCGATTCATAACCCTGATTCAAGCCCTCCAAGACGACGATTCATAACCCTAGAGTTTATAAACGATCACTCCTCTCGAAAATTCACGCTCATGGTTTTACATAGCTCATCTTGCTGTACTCGCTCCTCCAGACGACGATTTGTTTAGGCGGATTCAGGCCCCTAACTGGTACGTGTGATTTCTATGTTTTTTATTAGAATGTGTTTCTACTCCAGAAGGTCTCCCTTTTGCAATTTTTGCTATATTTCTTGGTGTTTTGTTGCGTATTAGGTCTCCGTTACTGGTACATTTGGTTTCTATGTTTTATTATAAGTATTAGTTGCTTGAAATTTTATTCAAATCTTATAGAAATTGGAGGGAATATGTTTCAAATACAGGTTCTAAATGTGTTTCATCAACCTACTACAGGAGAATATGTTTCAAAACTTTCAAAGTTTTTAGGAGTCCATCAAAGTTCTTTTGTTGCTTTAATACATTCATCAAAGTTTTTGCAAATCAAATTTACAGGTTTGTTGATCCTTGATTTGTTAGAGTCTGAGCTGCATTAGTTGGAAGCAGGGACTTCCATCGATACTTGTGCTTACACCGTTGCTCGACAAATCCTTCTCAGGTAATTGCGTATACATAGTTTATTCGATGTTATCCAAGTGTTTTTTGGCCGCTGGTTCTAACTTAGCCAAGATAAATTTGTTGCTTGAAGTTTTACAAAAATCTTCAACCCACTACAGGGGATTATGTCTCAAAACTTTCAAAGTGTTTAGTTCATCAAAGTTTTTGGGATTTCATCAAAGTTTTTAGGAGTACTCAAAACATTGCGGTCTTTGTTTGAAGGAATTACATGAAGCCAATCCCTCACATTGTGCTTCTTCAAGTATTTCTTTGTCAAGTATTTCATGTACCTGAAGAAACATGAAAAGACAAAACAATTCGATTATTGTAAATGAAAGCCATTTTGATCATTGATAAACAACAACACAAAAAATAGCAAAACCCCATTTGAATTTAACCACCAATTTTACAAGAATCAGAAAATAATTCCCAACATAAAAAGAAATAAATTTCATCAAACCAAGAAATAGAATAGATGTGGAAACATCTCATTAGTTGAGATGGTAGCTCCTCCAAGACCATTGTTATGCATCTTTACATCACCCAACATACACCTAGAATAACAAAGTTTGTGGATTGAAAGCAATAATTCACAACACAAGTTAAGTCCATATTTTTTTTATTGATTGATTTCTACATCTAACCTTGAAAACCAACCCCCCCCCCCCTTTTCAAAACACTTGCTCTCATTTTGTAGCAACAATGAGCAACCCATTATCATGAGTTCACTACCACAATCATGGTAGCTGAGGAATCTCTTGCTATCAATATCATCAATCCTTATGAACAACGACAATGAACAAACTAACAAATCCACACTAAAACCTTGCCAAGAGATTAATTATATGTGTTGATGTATTCAAAACTTTTCAAACAAGATAATCTAGGTTCCATCCACATCAGTTGATTATGTTTGTGCAGAACTATAAATTTAAAAATAAAATGACCAAAAACATCAGAGTTATCTATACTATCTATACTACCTTATTAATTAGATTTAACAAAAGTCTTAAAAACAACATCCAATGCATTCGGTACTATTTTTTAATGCATAAAGTCTTAAAGTCTTAAAGTCTTGAAAACAACATATAATGCATTTAGTACTACTTTATCAAGCACACATTGATAACAAGGTAACAAGGTTCTCTCTCTCTCCACCCTCATCACTCCTTTCCAAACGCAAAAGGAATTTGTCTTTTGTTTGATGAGAACGAGAAGTGTTGGATAGTCACCCATCACAAGTCTCTCAAACCCAGCCTGTGAAGAGTAGGGGGATCTCTTGTGCAAAGCAAAGACATCCAATTGAACCCAAACTCAAAGGAGGACCACAAGCTCGGGGCAGGTAAAGTCTACGAATATAGTTGTTACTAATAAGGTAGAAAAGGAACCGAAGGCTGTTTGCGTACTTGCTTGTTAAAGCCTGAAAAGAAGCTCATTCCCTTTCCAACACTACTCTGCCCTCCAAAAAGACGATTACCGAGATGACGATTCAGTCCCCAAGGCAACAATTCAGGCGATTCATATCAAATTGGTTTGTTTGTGGATCTTTTAACTTAATATGTTTGTTAGCATTGTAATTATGCAAAAAAGTAATAAACTTTGCTATTTTGGTCTCCATTATCTAATTACCATGCCACTACTTATACGAAGTTCAGGAAAATGTCCAATTGACATCATGTTCTAAGGCTCCTTTTAATATAGTCCAATTTTACATGGAAGTCTAAACAGACAACATGTATGTTTCTTAAAGAGTCTTGATTGTTTATTTGAATTTAGATGGCATAGTATCTACGACTTTTTTGACAATATTTTTTGTCTTTCTTGCAGTCTGAATTATTCAATGCCCTTGGCAAGACAAGATGTACTTATGAAAGAAGGATTTGCAATATACTAGATGTGGTAGAACAAACTTGATAAAGTTATACAATGAATGTTGTACCTTAACTTAACTTTAGTAGGTGGTCCGTGACCTTATTGTAATATATTGTGTGTTTGTTGCAGCAAAAAGAATACTACGGTCGGCTATCGGAGAGCATCAAAGCAACTTAAACATTGGGGTATGGAAGTATGTTATTTGTTTATTACGGCTACCAATCGACATCGATAAATTTGGTTTTTTTTGTCACTTGTTTTGTTTCAAATGACAACCCTTGGCCATAACAACGGGAGGTTTCCATTTTTGTTATGTGAAATAGCGTCCGAGTATGGAGATGATAAATTTTGTTGCATTAACTTTTGGATATATTTTTGTAAAAGCAAATATTTTGGTTAATCCATTAGCTAATGTTGAAATGTGTGTATACATGTAAAGATGATAAGATCCTGACTCAAATGTTTATGGTAGAATTGATTTTTATTAGAGATTATCTTGGTAATTTATCAAGATCAAGGGTTATGATTTTCAAGTTAACAATGATATAGAATATTTAGTTTTTGGTCTATCAAGGAACTAAGCTAAAGATGCAAAAGAAAAAAAACCTGTTGCAGAGATGAAAGCTTCAATATCATCATATGGTCTCTTGATCAGCTCTTTCACCTATTTCATATTTATTCTACCTGTCACTTACTCACTCAGGGTGATAGTTCCAAAAAGAAATCTTCCAAAACCTGTTTGCTAAATGTTGTCTGCAACTGAAACACTTTTGGTATCGTTGACGTGATTTTTCGGTGGTAATATGTATCGCTTACACAAATTAATATGCTATGTACATGTCAGATCTCATTTATATTCACAAACCATTTGAAACTGTCTTTTTCTTTTTAACATTTTCTTGCCTAAACTTAAAAATATATGCAAGCCATTTTCCAAAAGAACCTCATGTACTTGGCTGCTGTTGTTGATGCTCAACCACCGCCAACATAAACTTCAATTCATTCTCAAGTGAGTTCTAACATGCAATTGGAATTTCGATCCAAATGTTTGTGTTCTTGATTTAGCCTTAAAACAGTTACATTCAACAACTGAGTAACATCAGCCTGCAGTCAATAAGGTGGTGCTTCTATTACAAAACTTCCATTTAAGATTAATAGTCTTTGAAACCTAGATCAAAGAGTAAAAATTGAAGGTGTTTTTTAGATTTAGGGGGCCGTTTACCAAGCGATTACCAAGTCACTTACCTTACCCAGTGAGCGTTGCAAGCACGGAGAAGACTCTTACCCAACATATGGAACAAAGAAACATATCGAATATAAAAAACCTAAAACATCACAAAAGTTATTAGAAATTAAGAGACCAAACAAAACACTTAATACTTTAATGTATGAAAAATTGGGATTTAAATGATTAGATTAAGCAAAACTAATTGATTTGTTGATCAACTTTATATTCGTCCAGAAATTATGTCATTTAAAGTTTCAAATCGAAAAGAGAAAACAATTTCCCATTTAATTTAACTTTTGTTATGACAATCAATGATGTTTAGTGTGTGACAATTTCAAATATAAATGTTTATTCGTAATTGGTATGCTCAATTACATTTATTCAAATTTTACATCCCGACACATTTCATGGGTATATATATACATATATATATATACATACATACATACATACATATATATATACATACATACATATATATATACATATATATATACATACATATATATATATACATACATATATACATACATACATACATATATATATACATACATACATATATATATACATATATATATATATACCTCTTCAAATACAACCAACATAAATGGTAATTGTTACAATTAAGGTTACTTAGGTCTTTTTTATGAAATTCGTATTTTTAAGAATAATTCAAATCTTTCTTAAGAAAATTAATTAATTAAATATCTCATCTGGTTACCATGTGTAACCAACTTCGTACTTTTAGAAATAATTCAATTTTTTCTTAAAAATTATGAAATCCTTAAGAAATGAATCATTCGTAACCACTAAAAACTGTTATACAATAACAATTCATAACCATTTATAATTACTTAAAAAAATTTAATCATTCTTTCATATATGAAACCATATAAAAAAATGATCCTTATAGGAAAATTTCATATACAAAAATGATCTATATACTCAAATTTATCACTTTTTCATATATGAAGCCATATAAAAATTTGAAACCATATACAAAAATAATCTATATATGAAAACTTCATATGGAAAAATTCATCACTTTTTTCATATATGAAAAATGATCCATTATACAAATATTAATCTTTTTTTCCATATATGAAAACAGTATAAAAATGATCCATATATGAAAAAATCATCACTTTTCCATTTTCGTCATTTTTTCATATATGAAACTGTGGACTTCAATTCTGGAAAAGGGTGGAAGTAGAGAAGATACGAGGTGGAAAAGTATAAGCGTTTTTCTGAATTTCATCTTGAAACCCTAAGCACCAAATCGAGTGAAACCTTGGGTTGGAGAAAAAAGAACAGAGTTCGAAAACCTATGCTATGGTTTGGATCTGGTTTGATTTTCACGAATGAAGACACGATCTCAGGGATGAAAGCTTCCGATATGGTTTACGGACAACCTCGGGACAGGTTTGGAAACCCAAAGAACTCGGGGATGGAGGTGGCTAGTGGTTGGGAAGTGCAATAGATCGATAAAGTGTTAGCTTACCGGCGATGGAACTGGTCGTGGGTTTACCGACAACAGAACTGGTTGTAAGTTTACCAATGATGAAGTCCAGGGTCGTGGTTGTTGGTTTACCGATGATGATTTTTTGAAAATCCATCACTTTTTAATCACTTTTGTCCAAATTGAAAGAGACAAAGTGTTATGGTATCTAAATATGGAGAAAATTATGGATTCTAAATTAAAAATATTTTTTAAAACTACCATTTCCCAAAAAATTTAAATCAATTAAAAATTGAAAATTTATTAACCGTTGATTAAAAGAATAAAGGGTCAAGATTGGATTATAACGGTTGTACCATTTAATTTGGTTGGATTTAAAGATACCATTATATAGTTCGGTTCCGATAATACCACTCCTTTTCTATGAGATCCGTAATACCACATTATAGCCATTATATATTTTTCATCATACAAATCTTCATATTTATCCAAAATAATGGTTTCACATGATCTTATCACCCCACCCCACCCCACCCCACCTCACCTTACTCAAGCATCGACATCCACACCCCACACCTAACCACCACAAGCACCATCACCCCTAACTACCCTTCCTACATACCTCTCACCACCACTAAGCTCGATCATCCACCATCCAACATCCACCAACAACCACCCCACCAGTCCACCCATCCACCACCCACTAATCCTCGTTCACCTTACCACCCCACCAACCAAACAATTCACCACCAACACAACCATGTCCACCGCCACCCACCCCACTCCCAACACCACCCCAAGCACCACCACCATACCAAACTCCTTTACACCCACACCTACAACCAACCCTATCCAAATCCCCCATCATAAACCACCCCTACATACCAAATCCCCCATCGCCCATTCACCCACCACCATCCCCTGCCTACCTTATCACCCCAATCCACCAACCTCATCAAATTCCACCACCACCCCTAACCCGACATCACTCACCAACCACCCCACCCCACCTCATCATCCACCACACCATACCCCACCTCCCCCTACCCTAAGGACAACCGCCCCACCCCACCATCACCAACTAATAACTAATTCCCACCCAACAACTGCCCTAACTCCTCCACCAACCACCGCCCTAACCCTCCACCCAACCACCACCTCCACGCAACCACCAATCCACCCGTAACAAACCCCCACCCTACCCCTCCCACCCAACCATCTCGCACCCCCACCTTACCAACCCCAACCACCATTCATTAACCCCACTTTACTACCCTTAACTACCAACCCTATCTAATTCCACCACCACCTCTAACCCTGTTGCTCGTCGGTTTATTCAACCTTAGATTTTAACACAAAAATAGAACTCGGCGCAAGTATAAACCTTGAACTACTGTCGTCTCGTAACAAGTAATAATGGTATAAGTACCGGATATCGTTCCCACAGAGATAGCTTGTAAAGTTCTTCAAAAGTCCAGTCTATAAAAACTAGTTTCAGATGGCGAATCAAGGGATTTGATTTATCTAAAATTAGGTGGTTTGATTAACAACTAAGAAAAATATCAGTCTTAAGAAAAAACACAAGGTGCAACAGTTGATTAAGACACTAAACAAATGATTCAGCAAAAAGGTGACATAGCATTCATGTCACAATTATCTAAAATCAATAAATGATTTTATATAACTATGACTGTATCAACTATTGGGTCAGACGGCCTCCCAAGAGCACACACCGATCAACGTGCTATTGATATGATATCATTTATGTTAGACGTCATGGTCCTACAGGACTGCTATCGATACGATATCATTTATGTTGCACACCGGTCAACGTGCTATCGATACAATATCATTTATCGGACAAGTACTACAGGATTCTGCCACACCTGGTCCTACAGGACTGCTGCAGGATTTGGCCTAAAAATCATCAAAAACCTGCATAAACAGGGAATTAACATTAGATATGTTATATTACCAATTATATATGAAAATGACATAAAAAGACTCAACTAAGACACTAATGGGCAAATAAAACAAAAGAAAATGGTTAAGAAAATGATGTAATAAAGCTAATAAATTAACACTTTTCGCCTGTGCATCGCTACCCATCCATTCCCACCCCCAAACATCACCACCCATCCCTTTTCCACCCTCACCCACCACATCGCCAACCCCCATCTAAATCTAACATCATTAACCAACCCTACCCCCCCCACCTCCACCACCATCCAAAGCATTACCCACCAATCACTACCTACTAACCCCATCCAATATTCCACCACCCACCAACACTTAATACCAATATTATTCTTTAATAGTATTGGTGATTGCTGTTTTACCTACTTTAACGACCTAACTTGTTACTCACTGTATGAAAGGAGGAGCAATAGTTTTCCTCTTGTTTTACTTGTTAAATTATTATAAAAGTTTATATAATATATGATTTACTCTATTGACCATTTTTTTTATTTTTTATTAGAAATTTGTTAATATTCCTATTATATACTTTTTATATATTTATTCAATGTAATATTTTTCTAATAATGTATGATTCAGTTATAACAGCGTTACTCAAAATTTAGAAGTTTTTCATAACTAAACTATGATTGGAAATTAAGTAATGACTAAACTACAA